TTTTGTAGAACAAAAAGCTTTTGTGGGACAAAAGCTTTTTGAGTGAGTGATTTGAATGTCAAACAATGGGTTAACCTGTTTAATTGAAATGGAATGATTAGAATGGTCATAAGATTCAAGAGTCGAACTAAAAGAAAAGTTCTTTGCAAATATTTCTGCCTTATCCTTGGGAAAGGTTATAAGATCTGTCCCATGAATGAGGAATGGAATGTTAGACCTACCCTTGTTAATGAAGCTGCACAAGAAGGTGAAAAGCATAGTAGAATGAGGCTTGACTTGGAACCAACATGAAAGAATAAAAGTTTCCATTTCTGTCTAATTCCAGTAGATTATGCAGGAGGCACATTTATTAGCTGATAGTGAAAAGACGTCAGCCCAAAGACCATCACAAAGAAAATTACGAAAAAAATCCTAGTCAGCTTTAGGGTAGTAGTAAGTTGTGCGATGATAGAGTGAGTCTGAAAAGGAACTATGAGATAAAATATTTGTAGAGATCATTGAATTGTCAGAACCACATATTGGAAAAAAAAAGGAGAAACTGAACACAAGCTAGGGTCAGAGACAAATCTGAAAAAATTCAAGGAGTTAAGGTAAATGATTAGGAAATTAATTAGGATTTAAGGTAAAGGATTAGGAGTTAAGGTAAATGATTAGGTTGTTAGGAAATCAAGTCACAAAGTTAAGTATCTGAGTAAGAGATTGAGAAACGCAGAAGTTACAGGCTTTAGTGCCAGCATGGTCCATGATGTTCAGTGTGATGAGCATTAAAATCATCAATAACAACAATGTTGGCAGAGGGGGTAAAGATAAAGGGCAAGTCAATTTGATCAGAAGTGACATATAAAAGAGTGCAGTCTTTGGAAGAAGAAGAACAATAAAGAACAAAGAGAAAGGGGATAGAGTGTAGAGGTGTTAAGTCAAAGCACATAAAAGAATGGTCAAAGGATTCAAACTTGATTTTATGACAAATGGGTGAATTGAAACGTATGTATACCTCCATGCCAAGCATGCGACTATTGGAGTCTTTGTGAATCAAAGGATAGTACCCATCAACACTAAGATCTGAAGAAGTAATTGCGGAATTTAAATTAGTCTCATTAAAAGCAAACAAGTCTGGTGAATTTTTTAAGATGTAAGATTCAACTGATGGAAGGTTGCTTAGCAGACCACAAATATTTGTAAATGATATGTTAAAACAGTTATGTGATGAGGATGGTTTCTTATGCGTAATATTTTGGATTAATGTTGGCATGATTTAAGTTTAAAAAGAACTTGACTCATTTGTAGATAGATCCTGCCCTCCTAAGCAATGAGCTATGCAGTGTTAAATGTAAATTTTATGTTTCAAGTGAAAATATGTGATCCAAAGTATTAAACAAATACAGAATACAACCAATAGACAGTGCATACTTGACATAGAGCAGACTTACTGTTTCAAATTATATTGTCTTATGTCTTGATTATCTTCTTGTATAATATAACTTTCAATGTATAATATAACTTTTCTATATAACTTTCTTGTATAGTATAAACCTTATTTCAATTGATTTGGAAATACTAGAGTCCAAACTTCAATTACCAATATTTTAAGGTACGCATACAGTTAATGTTACAAGTAACTGTCAGGATAATTAACTGTTAGTTAATTAATAGTTAATTAATAGTTGTATAAAGATAATAAATTTTTTTTTGTCCTTTGTAAAATGTTGATTATTTCTCAATCTCATTCCTCAAGTATTCTCATTTAACTCTTCTGGCTTCTGGGTTCTAAGTTCAGTCAACTTTGCATTTAATTATTGAAGCATCTGAGCAATTTTCCAATGAAATACACATGAAAATTTTTAAATTACATTAACCTGTTCTGAGAATTTAGGCAAAGACAGTGATATATCTGCTACCAACTACCAGAAGCTATTTGAATATAGTTTGAAATATGCAAATGACTATTTTCTTAAACCCTGATGTTTTCTTTCTTTTTTTTCCATTGAAGATCTTTTTGTTTCTTAACCAGGTGGATAAAGTGTTCTCTTGTATCCTATACTTTAAAAAAACCCTGTTAACTTAGGGATGTCATATAATACTTAAGTTATTTGGAATTAACAGTTTTTATATTCAACTTTTGCTTTGTTGAAGTTGTTGCCATGTTGCAAACTTTGAATTGAAAAAGCAAGCATACTCAATTAGAATCTATTAAATAAAAATATTTTATTTATATATTTATAAAAAATTATAAACAATCATCCTCACTATGTTTCATCACAGTTAGTAAGTGACTGGGATTGAAATTTGACTAGGGCCAGGGCCAGGTTTGGTAGAAAATAACCGGAGCCGTGGCTAGGTTTGTGACTGGGACTGCATAAAGATTGATACATCCTAAAGAATACTATTTTTAATTCAGAATTAATGTTATACTTTTTATATATTCATATGTATGTATATTTATATATCATCATCATCATCATCATCATCATCATCATCATCATCATCATCATCATCATCATCATCATCATCATCATCATCATCATCATCATTATCATCATCATCAGCACCACCATTATCATCATCATCATCATCATCATCATCATCATCATCATCATCATCATCATCATCATCATCATCATCATCACCATCATCATCATCATCATCATCCTCATCATCATCATCATCATCATCATCATCATCATCATCATCATCATCATCATCATCATCATCATCATTATCATCATCATCACCATCATCATTTTCTTTCCTTAACTAAAGCTTGTTTTTACCATGTGTAATGCACTCTCTCTGAGTTTTTTTACCTCAAACCTTCTGCCTCTACCATTTTCTACTGAAGCTGTTACCTCTCTACATGCTGATATCCAAACTACTTTAATCTTTTTTCACAATTTTTGTTTAATACAAAGTATTTTTTAATCATGCCTAAGAATATGGCATGATTAAAAAATACTTTGTAGATAATATCCTTTTCTTGTGTTGTTAGAGTCATAATTAATGTTATACTTTTTATATATTCATATGTATGTATATTTATATATCATCATCATCATCATCATCATCATCATCATCATCATCATCATCATCATCATCATCATCATCATCATCATCATCATCATTATTATCATCATCATCAGCACCACCATTATCATCATCATCATCATCATCATCATCATCATCATCATCATCATCATCATTATCATCATCAGCATCATCATCATCATCATCATCATCATCATCATCATCATCACCATCATCATCATCATCATCATCATCATCATCATCATCATCATCATCATCACCATCATCATTTTCTTTCCTTAACTAAAGCTTGTTTTTACCATGTGTAATGCACTCTCTCTGAGTTTTTTTACTTCAAACCTTCTGCCTCTACCATTTTCTACTGAAGCTGCTACCTCTCTACATGCTGATATCCAAACTACTTTAATCTTTTTTCACAATTTTTGTTTAATACAAAGTATTTTTTAATCATGCCTAAGAATATGGCATGATTAAAAAATACTTTGTAGATAATATCCTTTTCTTGTGTTGTTAGAGTCATACCACGTATCCATCTGATCATCATCTTCTCTTTAGGCAAATACTTCACCATATAAGTACTAATGTTTACATAAATATGTAAAGTTGATTTCGAAGAGGTATAGAAGATTTTATTTCTTTTTGGTTTTAAAATAAGCCTCATTCTACTCTATGTTTTTCATCTTCAATTGATATATTAAACTGTAAACATTTTTTTATTTTTCATTTGTCTTTACATGAACATTTCTTTTGAACTTTTCCTATATTTTGTCTCTTGAATATTATAGCTATACTCCTCCTGCTATGCCAGTTAATCAGATAAACAGATATGCAGTTAAACAGATTAACATATATAATGTTCAATTAAAACTTTTTACGGCTTGTGGCTCAGATAACATTTCCATCATAGTCTTACGAAAGTGTTGTTTAAAAAACTCTAGAAAAACTCTAGCTACTCTAGAAGTCTCTATTATTAAATTATCAGAGTTTAATTAGAGAATTACAAATTATCTCTATTAGAATTATAAATTATCTCTATTGTACGATTAGTTTTATATCTATTATTAGTCATTTTTTTATTGCTTAGAACAAGCAGCAATCTTTAATCTGATCTCCCTTCCATAACAACTTAGGGCAGTGGATTGCGGATTTTAACTTTAACAAAACTTAGTTATTTACAACTATTGCAATATTGTTGACATATCTATATTGACGAATAACTACCCACTTACTCTCAGACAAGGTTCAAAAGCACATTGTAAATGTAGTTGGACCTGGTTTATTTGGCGAGCTTATACGAACTCCCCTATTGTTGTAAGGTTGCATCTCTTTTTTTTTTTCTACAAATACTATTATGGTCCCTGTTCAAACAAGCTATTATCTCTAGTTCAATCAACCGAAACATTTTTTCTCATACAGTTTACAACTTTTTGTGTCTCTAGTTTCTTTGCTCTGAAACCCTATCCTTTGTTTTCTAATAACTCAAATAATAACTTAAATAATTTTATAATATTATAGTAAATAAAGTTTTCCTTGCTCTGGCTTTGAATCCTAAATTTTAAATTTTTAAATTTTTCTGGGGTCAGATCTCATGAGTTTTAATGAGTTAAATGACATTATTATGAAACTGATGGTTTTGTGACCCAACTATAGTATACTAATTCAACTTTATAGTGTGTTTTTCTGTGTTTCTATAGAAATTTTGTCAAAAAAAAAAGAATGATGTTCTTATGATGTGTTAAATACACTAGCTGTACATTTTGTTTGCATTATCAAAGAGTTTGTTAAGTAACTGATTACTGCCTTGTGAGACAAGGTGTTTTACAACCCTGAAGCATATGTATTTAGTAATTATTAATTAGCACCAGTAATTAGTTTATAACCTCTTATGTTTTATCTTGCAAAATTTGTTTTTTAACATCTTTTAGCATAATACAATTTTATTGAAATTTTCTTTTTAGCAATTGATTTAAATTATGGGAACATATACTGTAACAGTTGTAAAACATATGTTTATGATAAAGAATTTGATGCTGTTGCAATAGAAGAAAGTGATAGAGCATGGCAGATTAAATGTATTACTATTTTTTAGTTGTTGTTGTGAATAACATTTTTAGTTATTTGTTACGTTTGTGGTATATATATATATATATATATATATATATATATATATATATATATATATATATATATATATATATATATATATATATATATATATATATATATATATATATATATATGTATATATACATATTTAATTTATTATTTGTAAGTCATCGTTTCTATTATTAAAATACTACTCTTGTTTGATTATATTATTTATATTATTTTATTATGATACTTTGGGTTATATAGTATAAGCCATAATCAAACTGAAAAAAACTGTCATTACAAATTCATAAATTTAAAGCGAAAGTGATGCCATTGCAATGTATCAGATTCAGACTTTTAATGTAACAGACTTGTTTAGTTTCACAAAAAATGGTTGCCAAGAGTTGCAAATGGTTGACTGTTTATCACTAAATTACAATTATCGCAATTTAAGACGTTCCCTGCAATCATTGCAAATACTCAATTGCTTCATGAATCTAATGTCTATAGTTATTCAAATTTATAGAAAGTCTTTTTAATATAGTCCAGATAATTCAACTCTAATGAACAATGAGTTACATTACTTTAAATTTTTTTTTTATCAGGGTTTGTAAATTCTTTATTTCTTCTTGAATTTATTGGTAAAAAATTAATGTGGTAATTATATTTTTAATTACTTATTAATCAACAAATCATCCAGACCAAAACTAAGCTCTCATAAACAGAGATTCACTTAATGTTGAGCAAACGAAGTTAAGCAATAAAAAATAGAGAAAAGCAAAAGAAGAGTTAAGATGAGAAATAAAAGAACAATCAAAGAATAAGACAAATCTTTTTTTCTTGTCCTTAAGTCAAATGAGTAAAAAATATTTTATCAGGATCTCCAAAATAAAATACAACTATTTTGAAAATATTAATAATTGAAAATTAACCATTATTTAAGTTAGATTGCAACAACAATAAAAGATTATCTAGTGATATTATCAATGGAAAAGTTTATCTGATTATATTATCAAATGCAAAAGTTTATCTGGTTATATTATCAAATGGAATAGTTTATCTGGTGTAAATGTAAAAGTTTATCAAATTTGACCCAAATTTTTTGTCCTAGTTATGATATAAGTAGAGCATCACCAAACAAACTTCGGTTTGAGAAAATAGATTTAAGAAAAACTTGGTTTAAATATTTAATCTATCCTATTTAAGAAGTTTTATAGATGTTTTTTTTTCAAAAGAGCCAACTATTACTGGATTAACAATTTTTTTAAATTTGTTTTTTTAGTCATCGAAGTACTATATAATATTTGTGTTTGCTCTATATGAACTCATTTCATATATTTGTGTTTGCTCTATATGAACCCATTTCAAATTGTTTGGTTTAAAAAAAGAAGCATTTAATATTTGATTATTTGTTGATAGACAAAGACAATGTGAGAACACAATTTGAATGTCACAATGTGAGCACACAAATGTAAGAATCTCCTTGTTGAGTGTTTTATGAGCCAAAATGAAAATTCTATGAATGCAATAAATATTTAAATTTTGGAATATAAAAGTGAGAGCTAAATTATTCAATCAAAAAGCTAAATCAAAAGAGGCTTGTCCTAACGTTTATTGTTATCAGGGTTGGCATTAAAAAACCTGCCCAAAAAAACCCCCTTAATGATATCTGCCTAAAAAATCCAATAAAAGCCAGGCGAACTGGATTTTATTGGGTTTCTTTTATGGTATTTTATAATTTTATGAACTATTAAAACCATTATTAGTGTTATAACTATTTATTAACATCTAAATTAATTATTAACTACTATTATTTATTAAATTATTATTAACTAAATTATTAATAATTATTATAACCAGAAATAACAGCTATCAGAACAGATTTGCTAATATTTTAATCACTATTTGGAAATTCATTGTCACAATGATTATTCAAATCTTTTTACAGGTTAAGATTGACACTTTTTTATCTTTTATGTTATTCACCTCATAATGTTGAGAAGGCCACTACAGTCAAGAAAGCTATCTTATTGTGGTTACAACCCTCTCTCAACTCTTTAACTCCAAAACACAAACCATGAACAAGGCTGCTGAACTGAGAAACAAGCTTGTTCATTTAAATTTCAAGTTCAAATTCGAAGTTCAATTGAAACTTCATTTATTTCCTCTCATTCTCCAGCCTTTTCCCATTTCTTTTTGACATTTTTAATTATAAAAAGTATTACTTTTAAATCTAAAATAAATCAGTGGATATAGGTTTTACATGAAATTTTTTTTTCTATTACAGTTTTGAATTATGTTTAAAAATCATTCTCTAAATAATTTGAAAAATTCTTGTTATAAATTATAAAAGATACAAAATAAAAATAAAACCCAAAAAAAACAACAAATTTACCCAATAAAACCCAAAATTATCCAAAAAAACCCCACTGACTCAGCTTTTTTTCAAAAAAGCTAGAGTCTTTGTTGACCCTAATTGCAATATTGAGAAAGTCTCTAAGTCTGGCCCAATAAGTGAGCTATTATTTGAAATACACAAACTAGCTTCTGATTATATGTAAAAATTGATCCAGCTAGATTATATCATCAAATGATTGACAAATGTCTAAAACCTTTTAATAAAGCTGTTGTAGAGGTTGGTTTTTCATAGAACAATAAATGCATTACTCAAAATGAACCAACATTACAGCCAGACTTATGGCTCTCATTATGGCCAGACTTTGATTTCAAGTTTCACTTCAGCTGTCATTTAAAGTCACAATTGTCTCAGACTATCAAAAGTGTTCAAAAGAAAATTTGATAAAAAGTGATTTTGTGTATGAATATAAATATGAAGCTGTCAAAAACATTTAACTAGTTGTATTTTGGAATGATGAGACATTTTGGAATTATGAAATCCAGGGATGTGGACTCTTAAAATAGCAATCCAGCTTTATTTGTCACTTTGATTTTGGTCTCAGATGTCTAGAAGTCTAAAAGTATTAGAAGACTTATGAAATAAATTAAAAAAGAATTTATAGGATTTTATGAATTATAAGCTTTTTTTAACCTGGAATCCCGAAAGCCCAATTTTAAATTCAAAATTTTTACGTATAATGGCAACAAAGAACATTATACATAAGGAGTTTGGGTTCAAAATTGATAGTTCCTGTCAAAATCAAAAATTGTTACCAGTTATTTAAATAAAAGCATTATTTTAAGTTTTAAAATAAAAACCAAAAATAAAGAAAAATTTTGGAAAAATTGCACATTATTTTTGAAAAAAAATGTTTTATATTATAAGATTGTATTAAAAAATAAGAAAATTTAACTGTATTTTTTTATTTTTTTGTAATGTTTTGTGTTGTTATTTCTGGTTAATTTAACAGCATTTTATGGTTTTTGGTCCCAAAATCCTTTAGTAGACTTAAATATTAAACAACCAGTTAAAAGGTTTATCTGGTTGTTAAATTAAAGAGTATTTATAAAATATTTAAGTAAGTATTTATAAGTAATCTAATAAATATTAATATTCAATTCAACGCTGTTACTCATTTATGAGTGTTTGACAAGAAACTCACGGCAGCCATTACACCCGTTGTAGAACCTTTTGTATTAGAAAATGTGAACAAAAGTGTATGCAAATATCTTATGTAAACTTCAAACTATGTAATGTTAAAACAAGTTTTACAGTAATACTTTTAATTTAAAATTGAATTGCAGCAACGTTTCCTTAATTTTGATTTATAACATTTATTTATCGTTTTAAAAAGTCTTTTGTTTATTAAATAGTTTTAAAACTTTCATCGAACAATACGCTTTAGTGGCCGAAGTGCCACAGCATTCTGAAGTCAAATGCTGTGGTTCAAATCCGTGCTTCTTAATTTTTTTAAATAAAAAGTAAAATATTTTTGAAGTTTCATAAATATTTTTACTTTTGTAAACTTTTACTAAAAATTACATTGTGGCAAAATTTCCCTAACTTTGATTTTTGCCATTTTTCCCTCAAGTTATTCCAATTTTCTAAAATACAAATTAAAATATTTTTAAATTTATATTGTTGATTTACAAAGATATAATATAATAATTAATATAATTGTTGATTTATAAAGATATAATATACTATAACAAACAAAAGAGAGATTTTTAAAAAGCTTAAAATTGCAATAAACATCAAAACAGCAGTTGAAATTTTTTGAACAAACCTCATGATAAATACTGAAGTTATTAATGTGCTTAGGTTATTAGTCTACACATTCAACACTCATTAAAGAGAAAACATTTTTTTCTTTTATAGGAAAAAAGATTTAATATTCAAATTTTTATTTTATTCAAAATAAAATAACAGGGCGAAGTTCCTAATAAACGGATGGTCTGGAACAAAATTTAATAGAAACTTAATAAAGAAAAACATTTTACAATAAAAAGTTATAAAGTATTGAACATTAGTTGTTAATTCAAAACATAGGTTTGACAGATTTTTATTTTGTACCACTAAATAGCGGTTTGCGCAATGACTATCAAAGCGCTTAAAATATTTTAAAGTTATGTATAAATTATTGTTTTATTCATATCTTTAAAAGGTGTATAGTTTTTCTACTGCTTACTAAAAAATATTGAAGTAAAGTATAAGTATAGAAATAGTTGGTGTAGGATAGACTTACCAAGACCCTATTTTGGGTCCAAAATGCTAGTTATAAATAATAATAATTAAATATCATATATAATAATAAATAATTATAAAGTTTTTTTTAAATTAAAATTAAAGTAACTGTAAAATATTTTGACATTTTTATTTTGGCTTATCTAATAGTTTACTAAATTAAATATTTTTTAAACAAAAATAATATCAGTTTTATTAAAAACAAATCTGAGAATAAAATAAAACTTATCTCAGTCCCTTTTTTTTTAAGCAAATATGTTTCTTGGAGATAACATTATTATACACTGCTCTTTAGAATTATAACTTCTAGAGGGAGCTGATATATCTATATAGCCTATATATATTTTTGTTTCTTTTACTTTCGAAGAAATTTCACATTCAAAAAATAGCAAATCACAGCTTTTTATCAGTAACAAACGTATATGACTTTTTTCTTTTTTCCACTGAAACAATTAGTGTTCTACAAGAACATAAAATCATATGAATTTTGTCATGAAAAGTGACATAAATGTTGTCAGGAGCACATCCTGTAGAGGAGTATTAATAAAAAAATGTTTTTAGCAACAGAAACCGGTGCAGTTTGGATTAACCTTGTTTAACACCAGCTAGACTGATCCTTCTGTTTTGTGGGACCTGTGACATTTTTGTGGACCTTTACTTATTTTTGCAACTTTAACAAAAATTGTCTTGTTTTTGTTTTGATTAATTTTGTATAGTTTGAGGCTGTTAACTTGGAGCATATAATCAGCTGTTAACTTGGAGCATATATTATTTATATAGAACTTGGATTGTATGTTGCTTGAACTTGTGTTAACAGTAGTGTCTTAAATGTAGTTTTCCTCCATGCCTAAAAATAATAGTATAAAAATATATTATAAATAAAATAACAGTTTTAGTATTTATGATAAATGACATGTCGCAAACTTAAATAAATAAATGTCTAGTTTGAAAGTTAACACCTAAAAAAAAATAACATAAAATAGCATGTGCAAATGAACACTGGAGAAAAAAGAAAAACTAGATTCAAAAGCAATAAATCAAATATTTGATAAATCAAAGATATTGAAATAGTTATATCTTTACAACTTACTATATATTTACTACTTATTTAGTTTCTAGAAAATTAAACTCAAAAAGTTCAAAATTTAAATAAAAGTAATATAAATTTAATAAGTTAATAGAAAAATAAAACTAATAAAAATAATGATAAATAAAAATAATAGTTTAAGCTAATAAAAAAAAAATATAACCTTGGTTTCTTTCATACCTTTAATTTTTTTGCACCTCTTATTATCAAAGAAGTAAACTAAAAAAAGATCTGTTTCAAACTGTGGTTGTAGTGCTTTATAGTTTGTTTTTTGGCGTTCAAAACCATTATGTGGTTACAGTAAAAAATTACATTGTGCTATAAAAATTTTTTTGTAACAATATTTACAATATTTCTATAACACTTTGAAATAACAAATTCCAAAACAAATCTTTGGTAAAAAAAGATATCTTTTTAATCTATTTTGAGCTTATGCATGAACTTAATTTAAACAAATTTTTGGTAAAAAAAGATATCTTTCTAATCTTCTTTAGAACTTATGTATGAGCTTAACATGCATTTAAACATGCTAAGCTTGGTTTAAATACATGCTAAGGTTAAGAAAAAAAAAAAAAAAAAAAAAAAAAATGAAAAAGAGGTTTTAAGAGTAAATATATGATAACAGTTGATGACAAATTGATGACAGATGATTACAGAAAAAAACTGTAAATTGTATGAAATAAATTCTAAAAGTAGATGCTTTAAAAAATAAAATGAATAAGGGACCATTTTTTACCAGTGCATTTGACTTATTTTTCGCTACTAAAACAATTAATGTTTTATAGGAACAAAATATGTGTGTGAAAAGTATAAATATTGTGAAAAGATGTGACTTTGCTGAATGATGAAACAAGAGATAATATTACAAGTACAATTTACATTGTATAAAGACTTGAGTATTGGACACTATCTTAGATGCTAAATCACTTCATATATATCTATATATCTATCTATCTATCTATCTATATATCTATCTATCTATCTATCTATCTATCTATCTATCTATCTATATATATATATATATATATATATATATATATATATATATATATATATATATATATATATATATATATATATATATATATATATATATATATATATACATATATATATATATATATATATATATATATATATATATATATATATATATATATATATATATATATATATATATATATATATATATATATATATATATATATATATAATATTAAAAATTCAATAACTAAAAGTTATCAAGTATATTATGGTTGCTTGGAATTGTAAAAAAAGTAGATGATTTGGTATCATCTACATCTTTAAAGAGAGAGGATTCTGTTTATATTTGAGAACATACCACATGAGAAACATCGAACCCATGATACCCTCAAATAAAAGACAATGATGATGATTCTCATAATTTTAATGTAATTATATTAGCCACAGGTATAGATAAGATGCATTGAAAAACAACAATTTTTAGAAATTCCTTGTCTGAGTTCTAAATGTGTTCTTTATAATAAAATAACACGATTTAAAAATTTTTTGATCAAAAAGTATATTTATAGGTGCCCCAAACCCTAGAACATTTAAAGAGTACCTAATATATAAAAAAATCAACCTGGTATTCAAAAATAGCTCAATTTTGTAAAAGTTTAAAAAAATAATTTTTATTTTATAAAAAATTTATTAAATAAGAAAAAATATCTTCATGTAAACATGTAAAATTGCACTTTTTTATTTTTAGTTTAAAACAAAATTTTCATGACAAATATTTAAAGTATAAGTTTTTATACAAAACAATTTTTTCTTTTTACTTTTTTTTTTAGTAGTACCTAGTTTACCTAGTTTTGAAGAACTTTTTTTTTTTTTTACATATATATAAGGAACCCATAAAGTGTTCAAGGATCTTGACGCACCACTAAAAATATTTTTATTCAAAAATATCTTTAGTGGTGCGTCAATTTTAAATCTAGTGTTATTTTATTACAAAGAACGCATTTAGAACTCAGACAAGGCAAATTTTTAAAATTGTTGTTTTTTGATGCACCCTAGTATGTTTTGATGCACCCAAGTATGTTTTAATGCACCCTAGTATGCTTCGATGCACCCTATTATGTTTCCATGCACCCTTGTATAGATAAAATTTTACATATGGATGTCTCTGTCATCTGTAAAATCTAAACTAAATGTTTAAAAGAAAAAGATAGTCAAAATAAAAACCAAGAAAATTGGGAAAAAAAATGTAGAATTAAGTATAAAATTTGGTTCAATTTTTAGTACAAATAATATATTTAAAAAAAGAGTTTCAAATATGTTTTTAATTTTGTTAAAGTTAAAAAGAGAAGAATAATGCTTCCACAAGGGAAGGGAAGTATTACAAGCTCAACAAGGTTGTTCCCGCCAAGAAAAAAGAAAGAGAACATTTTGTTAGATAACGAATAGTATTTTTAAATAATCAAATGTGTTTTATGTTTAAGAGCTCAAAGAAGATACTAACAGCAAGTCATTCAATTTCATTCACTCTTTTTAAGAGTTTCAAGAAAATCAAAATTAAATCAGTATTTCTTTTTAAATGTTAAAATGTTAAACCTAATGTGACTAAATGTTAACCATATAATGAAACATGTTGAAATTGACAATTGCATTTTTTTAAAATGTTTTGTTAAAATGTTGTTATAGATAGTGGTAAACGTAAATATGTGGAATGGGAACCAAATGGAATTGAACAGGAGTTGTTGCGAATTAATAAAAAACGAAAAATATTAACTTATGGATCATACATAGGTTTGAGTTTGATTTATTTATTTTTTATTTTTATTTTTATTTAATTAAAGTGTTAAATCACAAAAAAAAAAGGAAATGATTCAAAATTTCTTTCATTCAAAATATTTGCTTTAGGGCTGCGTGGTCTAATCAACCTTGGAAGCACATGTTTTATGAACTGCATTTTACAAGCTTTTACCCATACTCCAATGCTTCGAAATTATTTTTTATCAGATTGTCACTGTTGCCCTCCAGAAGACTCATTAAACTGCTTAGTTTGTGAAATGTCAGATTTGTTTCAAGAAGTTTGTTTAGTTATTATGGCTTTTTTTAATATTAAAAAATATTTTTTAAAAATGTAAAAGAAGCCAAAAAGGAAAAATAGCGGCAATGTATATTGCTCAATTTGGTTGTATACAATGGGTAGTTACTGAAAATCTGGACAAACTTCAGCTGACTTTTAAATGCCACATCTTGCTTATCTTTTTCATTTTTATATTCATTTTAATTCTCATTTAATTCTCTATATTTAATAACAATAGTAAATTATTTAATAATAATAGTAAATAAGAATAATTTTCACTTTGCATACTTTTTTTTATTTTTTAAAATTTTTTTATTAATATATATTTCAATTACATAACTAAAAGTTTCACGCAATAACGATCATCAGATATAACAGCAACAAAAAAGTAGACAAAAATTATATACTAAAAATGCTATGGAGTGTCCACTTGACATTAAAGTTCTTTATTAGAAATTTATTTTTATGGCGGCATTATGATCCATAAGTTAATATTATTCGTTTTTTAATAAAAAACGAATAATATTAACTTATGGATCATACATTGGTTTGAGTTTGATTTTTTTTTTTTTCATTAAACTTAAATGTTAAATCACAAAAAAAAGAAATTAAAGAGTTTTTAATTTTTTTTTTTTTTTTTTTAAAGTTTTTAATTTAACTATAAAATAAATTGCAATGACCAGAAATGGCCCCACTTGATCGAGAATATTCCATTTTAATATAGGTTCTATAGCTTTATTTTTGCATTCCCACACAAATTTTGAATTTTTAGTGGAGTTGGCCTTACTTTCATAAACGAAAGAGTTTTTATGTTTATACCACCTGTCTTTGAAAGTTTTCTCAGTAAGCCCAACATGATAATATCCTTCTTCTTCTTGATGAGTTTTTGCATTGTAAATATAAAAAAGATTTTTTGTAAAGCGTTTTCCATTGAGTTGGCATAAAGTTGTTTGTTGACAATTGCATAATTGATTGGATTTTCATGAGAATTAAATGATATTTTTTTATTATTAAAAGTAATAATATTCTTGATGTTTGGAAGGAAGCTATAACTAATCTTTAAGTTGTTTTGATTAAAAAGTTTGTGACATTTATGGCCTTTAGGGAAACATTTATCAATTGTACTCAAAAATCTTTTGACTAAGTTTGTTCTGATGTTGAGCGAATAAGGTGGGTTAAACCAGATAATATATCTTTTTCGAGATTTTGTATTATATTTCTGGATATTTGGAATGAAATTGATCTTACTTTAAATCCAGAAAAATTGAGAGTGTTCATTATAAAATGGTGCAGCTCTATCAAAAGCTTCTTTGCTTGAAAATATATTTATGATCAATTAGAGATCATTTTTGGTATCGGTTTAATAATGCTTGGTAGATGATTGGAATTAATGTTAATATATAAAAGATCTTCTGGTTTTCTGGTTTCTGGTTTTCTGGTTTAAAAAAGTTCTCAGAAAAATGTGATATCTAGAAAATTTATTTTAATCCACATATTATTTCCTGAAAAAAGTAAAGATTTCCTGGTGTGGTAAATAATTTAGAGCGATTTATCAGGAATTTTGGTGAAATGTTTTGCATGGTTTACGGAATCTTGAAGAAATTGTTTCGAAATTGAAGGGTAAAACTTATCGTACTGAGTGAAAGTACATTTATTTTTTTCGGGTATGGATTTGAACCATTATATGATGTCATTTGTGCTGTACCATTAGTGTATGTGGGTAATATTCCTAATTTTACTATTGATATCATCTAATAAAATTTATACTTTAATACTTACTTTTCCGAGTCTGGATGACTGGATTTATTAATCGGCACTGTGTTTTGTTGGAGAAATTATCCTTATGATCATTAAAGGTAATAAATACTGTATTCTTTGACCAATGTAATTGAAATATATATTAATAATTATTTAGTTTTCACTATATATATATATATATATATATATATATATATATATATATATATATATATATATATATATATATATATATATATATATATATATATATATATATATATATATATATATATATATATATATATATATATATATATATATATATATACATATATATATATATATATATATATATATATATATATATATATATATATATATATATATATATATATATATATATATATATATATATATATATATATATATATATATATATATATATATACTGTCAATATATTGCTGACCTTAAACTTTCAGAGGTTAGCAATTTTTTTTCTAAAAAAATGAACAAAAAGTACATACATCAACTATGAAATAGCCTGACTCGCAAGGGAGTGTTGCTACATCTACTGAGGGTTTAGTTAGGCCAGGCATCAAGGTCAGGTTTAGGGTTAGGGTTACGGCAAGGTTTAAGTTTGGTTATATTATTGTAATTAATCTTTTTGTAAATAGATGAAGTTAAAAATGAAATATAATATAAAATAAATAAATAAAAATAACAAAAATTAATTTAAAAAATATAATTTTACAATAAAATAATAAATTTAAATAAGTATAAATAAAAATAGAAATAAAATAAGAGTTAAAAAATATATATAAATATGATAAAAATAGTATAAAAAAGTAAAAAAAAAAAAAAACAGAACGGGAACAAAAAGAATATTTCCCCAAAAGACACAACTAGGATGCTCTATATATATATATATATATATATATATATATATATATATATATATATATATATATATATATATATATATATATATATATATATATATATATATATATATGTATATATATATATGTATATCAACTCTCGGAATTAAGAAAAAATGAGGTCAGCAATAATTTGCCGACCTCAATCTTTTAGAGGTTGGCATCAGGTCGGCAAAAAAAAATGGATACAAAGGTCTTACCATAAAATATAGAAACGAGGTCAGCAATATTTGCTGACCTCAAACACTTTTAGGTCGGCATTGCCAAATGCCGACCCTAATTTCGAGGGTTGATATATATATATATAATTATATTTAGATGAATAAAAACAACTGATTAGCGGGACGTAAAGTTTCATGCCTGAAGGCAATCATCAGCCGTTAATACAACTGTTAATACAAGTTGTATTAACGGCTGATGATTGCCTTAATTGCGGTAATATTGAGCACTGTAACACGTGCAAGAGACTTATTATTATTACATCAAAATACTTAACCTCGAATATATTCTATATATCGAATCTATACAAATATATATATATATATATATATATATATATATATATATATATATATATATATATATATATATATATATATATATATATATATATATATATATATATACAGTGCTTTTTTTCTCCTAGAACGCACTGGCACCTTTTTTTTGATAAATTAACTTTTTTTGGATTATTTAGACTTTTTTTGTTCTGTAATATTATATAATGAAATTAGATCATTTTTAAAGGGACTACCAAGTCCCAAGACATGTTGTGTTTATATTAAAGAGAATGTTAAAAAAAAACGTCTGAGCAAATTATTTTTGATTAAAACTAATTAATAAATGTATACCAAGAAAAACAAATCTTGTTGTTTTAGTCGAAGCTTGTCTTCTCCGTTTTCTCTGGGATTTTGAGTATGTAAAATAAACGTGATTTTCCAGGAGACTTGATAATTTATTCAAGCGTGTTTAATTCATAGGAGTTTTAGTGCATGACGTCATAGATTTTCTTTTTGTTTGTTTAAAACACCGATTGTTATTTTTTACATACAATTTCCAAATCATATTCATTTTTATTATGTTTTAAAGTTCTAAAATGTGTTTGTAAAACAAAATTAAAAACAAAATAAAATTAAAAACAAAATAGAATTAAAAACAAAAATAAAATAAAAAACAAAAGAGTTATTTATTTGCGCAACTTTTTTTAAATAATCGTCTAGACCACGTGTATTTTGATTTCTTTTGTTATAAGTTTTTCTTTCAAAATATTAGATAAAATAATTTTTAACCTAAATAATAATGCACTTTTATTAATTTATTTTGTAAATATAAAAAAAAAATTATTAATGCATTTTTTCTCTGATTTTCAAAAATGTATTTTTTGGTATTGAGGTGATCTTATTTCATTATTTATATTTTCATTATAACATCCAATATATATTATGGCAGGGGCGAAAAAATTAAAAAATTAATATATATTAATTTTTATTTTACAGTCAAACATGGAAACATAATTAACTTGAATGTTTTTAAAACATCTTGCGGAAGAATAAAAAGAATATTCGCGAACACTAAAAACCTGCCAAATTTGCGAACAAACTAATTCTATTGGTTCAAAAAACACGCTGACTAAGCGAAATAAAGTTCTAGAGTATTCTGTTGAAATGTTTTAGGAATTGTATTATTTACGATTTGTTGCGTTTTGAGATATCTAGCATAAGAATATATTATCAAATGAACTATTACTTTAATATTATGGCTCATTCTCGGAGTCACATCTGTAAAGCCGTAAAACTTTTAAACTATTATCATTTGTTTACAAAAATAAATGTTTTATAATATATATTTTTTAAATTGTCAAAATTTTGAAAGTTAATTGCAAATTATATATTTTATTAGTATATTCTTAATTTTTATATCTTTTCTTAGTGCTTGGTTTAATTAATTGTTCCTTAGATTTGTAAAAAACTAACGAACAATTGTTAAAATAAACTTTTAATAAAATAAGTAACTATAGTTAGCTATTTGAGTAAAATTTAATAGTAAAATTTTACAAGAAATTCTAGAATGTTTCCAATGACGTCATGCTCTAAAACTCCTATGATTTAAACGCGCTTGAATAAATTATCAAGTCTGTATAATGCGCCTGGAAAATCGCATTTATTTTACATACTCAAAATACCAGAGAAAACGGAGGAGACAAGCTTCGACTAAAACAACAAGATTTGTTTTTCTTGGTATACATTTATTAATTAGTTTTAATCAAAAAAAATTTGCTCAGACGTTTTTTTTTTAACATTCTCTTTAATATGAACACAACATGTCTCGGGACTTGGTAGTCCCTTTAAATATATTTAAAATTGTTTAAACTAAAAATGCAAATAAGTAAGATTAAGTAAAACATTTTTTGCAGATTTGAAAACATTACAGTGCTCTATTTCAGAATTTATTGTTTCTTAGTCGTCGGTAAAAACTAAATTTGCTTGAGAAGAATTAATTTTCTTTATTTTTTAATAAGCGTTAGTTTTGTTGATGCCAATTTGTTTGCTTGTCCTAATATCAATCTCACAACCATAGGCCACTGATTTAAATTCAAATAGTTCACAGGCCAGATTTGAATTTAAATCAGTGTTTTAAATTCAAAGTTATAACTTACTTTATTACAATTACATTTAAAAAGTTATATAAAAGTATAAATTAAGCAAAATAACAAAAAACTTAATATTAAAAAAAAAAGCTACTTGGTGGACTCCCCCGGTTCAGAAAAAAATCAAATTAAGTGCAGAAGAAATCAAAATTTTAACATCAGATCCACTTTCTGCTTGTAATTACTCTTGTTAATTATAGCTGGCCAAGTTCTTCAGAGCAAAAAACAGAGTTTCATCCAAAAAACAAGTGACTTTGTTTTCAACAAAAAAGCTTAAATGTACTACCTGCCAAAGAATGAAACCACTTGGCGTAGAAGTTAAGATAAGAATGAAAATATCGAAGGAATGGTCCAAGTATGAAGTTTTTTATCATGGTGAAAAGAAAAAGCAACAGTTTAGTTTACAACGTAAAAAAATAGTTGAGCACAAAGAATCCGCTGGATATCAAGCTTCATTAAAGATAGTAGAAGAAGCTAAAAAAGAGGCTCTTTCAAACAGTATTTTAAAGTCTTTAACGCGTGAGAAAGTTGTAACAGCAAATAGTTTTCAATATGCATATAAAGTTGCAAAAGGAAACTAGTCCTTTAATAGCTTTGAAATAGAAATTGATCTTCAAGAAGTTAACGGAATCGAAATAGGTTGTATTCCCTATTTTTACAAACACATGCATTAATATAGTCAATCATATAGGAAACGAAATGAGGAAATAAATTATTGCAGATGTCATAAAATCAAAGAGTAAGGTTTCGTTAAAAATTTATAAGTCAACCACTATAAGTCAAAAATTAACACTGATAGTGTAGTTTTGATGCTGTATAAAAGGCAGTGTAAAGAATTCACCAATTAATTTATTTTTGGATTTAGTGGAACTTAAAAGCGTTACGGATAAAGGCTATGTGCTAATCATAGACTGGATATGTGCTAATCATAGACTGGAATTATTAGTAGGCGATTATTAGAGACCATTAGGGGGATCTTAAGTATTAACAGATTCAAATCATTTCTTAAAAATAGCAGAGAATCACATTTAGTTCATTTGGTACACGCTCTACACACTATCTCCATTTCCTCAAGTGAATGCAAACATTATATTAAAAAAAAATCAGTGTCCCAAAAATGGATTTTGCAGTTTAATTCATAATTTTTTACAATTAATTTTTTTTCAAAGTACAACCATTACTAGACATTAAGAAACATTATTTATTTTATATTTCCACAATATGTGTGAGAACTAATTGCAGATGTTTTATTACAGAATTTCATACAATCTTTTTAATTACATTTAAGTTTAAAAAAATGAAAAAAGTTTTGTTTATAATGTTTTTTAAAATTATTAACAATCTTTTGTAACTAATTTTCTATAAACAAAACTTTTATTAAAAAACTTTAAAAAGTTCTAAATGGTTCTTTTTACTGTAACACAACACTTGTTGACACTCAACTCGTTTCTCCGCGCAGCGGCCTTGTTCGTCAAGGTTCGTGTTTCGGAGTTATAGAGTTGAGAGAGGGTTATAGCCACAAATAAGTAGCCTCCTCGTCTGTAGTGGCCGTCTCGGCCTTGAGGAGGTGAATTAAAATTAAAAAAAACTTGCTAGCTGTTAATTAGCTGGTTTTTTTTTACAGTTATTTAAAAAAGACATTTTATGAGCAGTTTCAAGATAGAGCACCTCCCAATTATTATTGTTATGTAAGACAATAATAATTATTGTAATCTACGATTATTATAATGAAGTCATTATTGTAATGTAGGATTGCAATTAAAATTTGCAAAAAGATATTATTGAATACCCATCATACACCAGATCTTACTCGACGGGATTATATTGGGGTCTTTTTTATCAGAGAGAAAGTTAATTACAATCATTAGCATTATCAGTAATGTTTGGATTAAAATGGGCAGTTTAAAAACTTGTACTGGTTGAACATCTGTCTTTATATATATATGCTTTATATATATATATATATATATATATGCTTTATATATATATGCTATATATATATATATATATATATGCTATATATATATATATATATATATATATATATATATATATATATATATATATATATATATATATATATATAATATATATATATATATATATATATATATATATATATATATATATATATATATATATATATATATATATATATATATATATATATATTTATATATATATATATATATATATACTGCTTTTAAATAGTATGTATAAGTTTTTTGAAAAACGAAAATTTTTTGGTTAGTTAATAGGTTTCTTCAGCTTTAAACATATTTATTAAAACTGTTGATTAACATCACTGAATAACATCACTTGTGTTTGATGATATTCATATAGTTGCTGACATTCATATGAAAATGATTTCATCATATATTTTTGAGATGCACAGTTATTATTAGTTTTTATTTTTGGTTATTTTTTTAAATAGTTTTATTCTGGTAAAAAAGCAGCACATATACCTTTTCGTTTGCTATACAAAGTGTGGACAAATGCCAGACATTTAGCAGGTTTTTTATTATTGTTTTACTCACAAATATATTAATTTTATTAAATTGTTTTTTTTCTCTGAGATTTTATACTTTTGGTTGGTGTTCTTTTTTATTTTAACAACAGGTAAATTGATTTGTAGTGTTTATATGTGATATCTTTACTTGCCAGACCGACTATATTCTTCAAAAAACTGACTATAACTAAATGAGGGGAGGGGAAGGAGTCACACCTCTACTTCGCACTCACACCCACCTCATACCCATCCACCCTATCCACCCCCACCCCCCCTCCTTTCTCATAGAATTGCCCGTGGTCACTATGTTATAATAGTATTAGTAATGTTCTTTTAAGTATAAGTAAGTTCCATTTTATAACAATTTATGTTTTGTTATTTTAGTCAATTTAAAATATCAACTTTAGCAATTCTAAATTACAATTGATCACAACATATAAGTTAAAATAACTTAAGCATCTTCTAACTATTAGTTGGTTTGTTGGAGACTTTTATCTTACAACTATTAGTTGGTGACTTTTTGCATTATACAGAATTATACAGAAATAGTTTAGTAGATTACTCTTTGCAAAAAAAACTCTTTAATTTCTTTCTTAAATCTTCCTTCCTCTTCCTCGCTCTCGCTCTCACCTCGCCTCGCCTGACATCCTAGGCTGGTTAATTCACTGTCAAACATTCTAATCACTCTAGTGTCTGTTGCTAAAGTTACTTCTCATGTTTTTAGCTTGCGGTCAGGAAAATATTTATATTAAGCAGACGCTCTCTAAACTATTTAACAAGTTTTTCATCTTGTTTTACTAACTGCTAGAAAATGGCATCTGTGATTTCTATTTTTAAAAAGTCTGGAGATTGCTCTAAGCCTTTTTAACTATTGCTAAATCAGATTTCTTGCTATTAGTAAGGTTTTCAAGTCTATAATTAACAAACTTCTAGTATCTCTTCTTGAGCCCTACAAGTAACTCTAAAAATAATATCAATAAGGAATAATAAGGAATAATGAAAATCAAAACAGATTTTGATTCTCTCATTCTTCTGCTGGTTTGTTAACCATAGAAACCGTTGTTAATAATAGAAAGATTTTATCGTGCATTGAATAAAAGCGGTGATGCAAGGGCTTTTGACACATTAAAGGCCTTCTATAAAGTCATGTATAACAGTTTTTCTTTAAGCTTGCTTCATATGGTGTATCTGAGATTAGCAAATCGTTGCATTCTTCATATGGTAAAATTTTGAATCATTTCCTTCTAATTCCTGTAATTCAAATTCATTAATTCACTATTTCATTAGTAACACTTTTTTGGTATAATCAAGGACAGCCTTAGTGCACCACAAAAATAGCTGGCTTTTATATCTTAATGTGAACTTTCCTCAGCTTTCATGGGGTTGTAGTGACTGTCTTAAGAAAATTTTATTTGTCTTATTTCTTATTCTCTAATATTTGTATTGGAGTTCTCTCCTTTGTGTTCTTTAACTTTTATCACCTTATTTTGCTACTTTACATATTTATTTTTTTACGTTTTTTTTTAGTTAAAATATTGTTAATATATGTCGTTATTTTATTTTAAAATGTCATATATATTATAATATACATTTAATATGTTTTATTTCTATAAATGTTTTATCTTAAATATAACTTTTTTATATAAAAATTTTATAACTTTATAATCATAAGTATACAGTAAAATTGTATATAAACAGTTTAAATAAAACAAATAAAAATAGATATCAAAATTTAATAACTATATAATAATCATGCTAAAAAAAACTCTAAGCAAGAAAATGACAGATGATTTCATCATGGTTAATTTAAAAATTATTTATCATCAAAAACCAGGTTAAAGCTTCAAAACTGCTTATTGTGATTATCATTTATTATCAATTGATTTAATCAATAATATAAATAATTATTACAAAAAAAAAAAAAAAAAACTTTTTTAACTAACAAAGAATTTTACTTTCTCTTGTACTAAATTGTTATAAAATCTTTTTTTGGTGTAAGTGTGTGTGTGAGTGTGTGTGAATATATATATATATATATATATATATATATATATATATATATATATATATATATATATATATATATATATATATATATATATATATATATATATATATATATATATATATATATATATATATATATATATATATATATATATATACAACCCTCGGAATTAAGAATAATGAGGTCAGCAATAATTTGCCGACCTCAATCTTTTTGAGTTTGGCATCAGGTCGGCAAAAACTATTTGATACAAAGGTCTAACCATAAAATATAAAAATGAGGTCGGCAAAAAATTGCCGACCTCAAACACATTTAGGTTGGCAGTTAGGTCAGCATTGCAGAATGCTGACTCTAATTTCGAGGGTTGTATATATACCACCTTTATTGGTTATTGTAATTGCAAACTTATGATATATTAAAAACTTTTAGGATATGAACAACAAGATGCACATGAGTTTTTTATTTCAACACTTGATGTTCTGCATCGTCACTTTCGAGACGATAGCTCTACCCCTTCTAACAACCATAATAATTGTAACTGTGTTATTGATCAGATATTTACTGGTGGACTTCAGTCAGAACTCACTTGTCTTGCTTGCAGGTTTTAATAGTTTTTATAAAGCTTTTTCTATTAAGTTTTTAAAGCAAATAAACAAATACAAAAAATTTCAAATTTTATTTGTTGCTAAATTTTTTTTTATTAATTACTTTTTTTTTTAACGTTTAAGTTTGTTCAATTTTCTATTTTCTTTATATGTCTATAAATATATCTAAACAAATATACATTTAAAATCAGGTTTGGCCAGAAAGGCATACCATTTCACGTCATTATACGACGTGAAATCATATACCATGCAAATACGATTTGATATTACTTAACTTGACCATGGCTGTTAAAATGTTTTGAAAATTTGTATGCGTTTTAAAAACACACTAAAAAAATTATCTCAAACTTAAAAAAAAACTTATTGTAAAAGAATCTTGGTAAAAACAATACCGAAAAACAAAATAAAAACAACTTAAAACAAAATAAAATTTAAATTTAATTAAAATAGATTTGATTTACATGAATAGCTAAAATTTAAAATAAGTTGTTTTGAAAAAAACATTAAAAAAATTATGCTTTGAAACTTCTGTCTACAGACTTCAGTAATATTACGTAACTAAGTACAATAATGTAAATTTATTCATTAAAACATGATATAACAACTTGCAAAATTTAATTTATAAGTTCTTTCACCCATATTGACAAATAAACAAAAATCTAAAATGGGGTAAAATGGATATACAGGTAAAATGATAGTGGGGTAAAATGGATATATATATATATATATATATATATATATATATATATATATATATAATATATATATATATAATATATATAAAATCTTATTAATATTATAGAATTTTATTATAAATTTTATTATATGCACACTTGTGCTTTTTAAAATAGTGTTATACATTATTAAGATCATAGTATGCTTTTGTTTTTGATAAATGGCTTGGGTAAAACCTTAACTCCCATCTAAATGTTTTATATTTTATTTTTATATTCTTTTAAACTTAGTTTATTTTATAATATTTCAGATAAAATAATAAAACTGAATAAATTATCAAATGCTTTGTAAATATCAAAGCAAGACTATTGATACATATGATCACAGTAAATTAATGATTGCCATACAGCTTTTTAAGGCAGAGGACTCTGTACACAAAATATCAAAGTCTTCTGAAATTCTTTATGGGATATTTTGTAGAAGATCTTTTGATAAAATTCATAGAAATTGAAAGTGGTCATGGGTTTGTTTTAAACAATACTGATGAAAAAATTCTATAAGAAGCCCTGATGTACTTAGCTGATAAGGATTTTCCTCAAGATTGAAAAGATATCAAACTGATGGCTAAATCCTATATAACATTTACTAGAGAATAAATTCCATTAAAGATGACTGATGAAAAAACTTGTGGTTATTTCTTGAAAAAGATGGAATGTAGTTCTTGGGAAAAGAAAACCTGAACTTTTGACTAAAGCAAGAGCTAATAATATTTCTTTACAATATTTTAAGGATATTTTAAGTTATATGAGAAAACATTAATCGATAATAATTAATTTGATAGACCACATTGTATCTTTAATTTAGATGAAACAGGAGTACGTACATATCTTACTGCAGTAAAAATCTTTGTTTGAAAAACATTAAAAACAGCATATTACCTTTTCATGTGGATGTTTCATGTGCTAAATCAATGTTGCAAGAACAAGAGAAGAAAAAAGTTAAAAAGAAGACTGTATCAGTAAGAAAAAGAAAACTGACAATTACCCAATAAAATTTGGCATTTTAAATACATGAAAAGAGATACATATATATAAGTGTGATACATATATCAAATATAAAATAGTATCCATATTTCCCCACTGTGGAGTAATATGGATATATAAAAGTTGTTGATAAAAAAGGATTATTAAGTTAGTTATTGAAAATATATTTATACTATTCAAAATATACTCATTGTGAAATTATTGTATACACCCTGAATGTAAAGAAAAATAACAAAAGTTTTTATGGTGGTTATTACCTAAAAAATAAATTTGTATATAAAAAAAATAAATCTAAAATTTTATCCATATTACCTCACCCCACCCTATATTATTCATTAATATTTTTACAAAAAATCATTAGCAGTGATTTGTTACTTTATTTAAAAGCATTTCAATTATTTAAAAACGTAAGTAAAGATCAAAGTTATTTAATTTAAATGCCTTTCAAAAAAGTATTTTTTTTTCTTCTCAACAAAAACTTTAATAATTTTTATATGAAGTTTATTAAAGAGACATTTTCTGTTTAAAGTCGTCGCTTATAAAATTTTTATTTTATTTTATAAAAAAACTTATATAATTAAATAATATAAATTAAAATTTATACAACTTTCAATTACTACTACTTTATTTAAAAGCGTTTTGCTAATATAAAAATGTTAATAAAGATAAACGTTAGTAATGATAAATGTGTCAAAGTTTTCAACGTAATTAAAAACCATTTTTTTTTTTACTTTTATTAAAGACCGTGGTTAAATCATCAAAACAAAATATTGTTTGCATGTCATATAAAGACTTGAAATTGCACGTCTTCCTGGCCAAACCTGCATTTATATATTAGGAGAATCGTATCTTAAAGAGCACCATTTTTACATAGGATTGCCCTAAATACAGCATTTTATAAACATTGTTTGTAGAGTAAGTAGTTTTATAATGTAGTTACAGGCACTGGCGTAGGAGCAGGGGGGGGCAAATGGGGCGGTTGGTTCCCTTAACTAAAACACTGGGGGGGGGGGGGAGAACACTGCATTTAGCCTCTCCCCCCCTCCCATTACCATTTTCCTGCCTGCAATGACTCAATCACAATTAAACATCACCATGGAAAAGTATATCCATAAAACTGTTTAAGATACTATCGCATACTAACTATTTTTTTAAATGTGTTCCGGCAAAAAATGACTAATCACGTTAAAAAGATGATTAATCACGTTGCGTGTGATAAATAGTTAAATAAATAGATTATTTTCATCTAATTTGCTGTATCATACAAAATTGAGGAACTTTTTCCTTTTTAATATATGTTTTCAGCCTCACCAACTTTCGTGATCTTCCTACGCCACTGGTTGCAGGTTCTTTTATTATGATTTGTATCACTGTGTAAAATCTCAAGTTATATAAACTAGTTATGGATGTAACATTTCAAGGAAGGCTATAACTAACTTTAAATGAGTTTCTGTAAAATATTTTATGAAATTTATGGATTACTAGAAATTAAAGGTCAGGGAATGCTAGTAACTAACTTATTGTTTTTACATTCTGACTGAATGGAGGGCTATACCATATAATTTTTCACTTGCGATTTTTGTTTTTATTCAAGGTAATTTGAGATTGGTATTTAAATTTAAAATTATAGCCAGATTTTTCCAAAACTTTTTTGTAGTGTGGAATAGCTTTATAGAAAATAAATTTATTTAATGATGTGGCAGGCAATCTTAATTCAACAGTTTTAGAGAGTCTTCTGATAGCACTAGGGGAGTGGTTGAAATCATTGTGGACATTTTAGTTCTAGTTTTAATATCAAGTGTTGCATCAAAATTTTTAACTATTTTTATATTGCATTGGATAGAAATAAGAAGTTTATTACTTTTACGTTTTTTATAATCTCTATACGCTGGCAATCTTTGTTTTTAAATATCGCTTGCCTGTCATCACAAGTTCTGCTCTACAATATTGCTGGAGAAATTATAACAAAAAAAAGAGCCTTTTTTCTTATCCTTCCTTTTTTATTTATTTATTTTTCTTAATCCTTGCATCTTTGTTGTTTTTAGTAAAAATTTTGCAATATTTTCTGCCAATGTTTTATGCTCATTGTTTTACAAAATTTTGCTCAGCACAGTTGATTGAATTATTGAGAGTTTTTTTTACTTAAAGGGATCCCCAACTGCTGAGACAAGTTGTGTTCAAATTAAAGAAAATGTTTAAAAAAAACACTTGGGCTTAATTTTTTTGATTGAAACTAAATAATAAATGCCTACCAACAAAATTAAAATTATTTTTTTAGTAGAAGCTTGTCGTCTCCATTTTTTTTTGGGTTATTGGGGTCTCTATAATGTTGGCCGCAATCTGCAGACTTAATAATAATTTATTCAATGCATGTTTCAACGCATTGATAATTTATTCAATGCGTGTTTAATTCATAACAATTTCGGTATATGACATCAGTCATATACCAAAATTATCATAGTTTATCAAAATTATCATAAATTGCCATATCAATAATCCATAGCAGATGCTATAGATTATAGATTTTGTTTAAGAGGTTAGAGTAGTAATTAATAATCCAGAAAGCATCAAATTTGAACTCAGTAAGACATTAAAATATACAAATACCAACATTGTTGCAAAAATAACTGAGTTTGAAGTAATAACTGAGTTTTGTTTTAGCTAAAATTATATGATTCAATAAATTCATAAACTTTTCTGATACATCACATAAAACTTATGAAGAATTCTTATGCTAGAAGTTATCAAAAGCTTTGATATATCAAGTGCATTGGCTTTTGATTTGAAATGTCATGTGCAATAGCTGTTGCCTTGTCACCTCCATTTAATGCACAATAGAGCCTTTCTGAAAGACCTTTGAAAGAATGAATTTGAATCTGAAAGACTTTTTGAATGTCAGGTGTACTGAAATACTTTCTGAATGTCAGGTGTACTGAAAGACTTTCTGAATGTCAGGTGTACTGAAAGACTTTCTGAATGTCAGGTGTACTGAAAGACTTTCTGAATGTCAGGTGTAGAGTAAGAGCATATGGATTGTCAGAAAATTGTTAGAGATGTTGGTTAAAGGTAGGTAGAAGTTGGTTAAAGACTCAAAGACTATTTTGATATTCGGTAGAAAACCAGACGATAGTTAAAGAGGTCTAATTGATCTCTAGAAATGTTAAAAATTAGAACCACAGACGCCATTCTCCTTCAAGTAGGAAAACAAAGCTTAAATAGTTAATAGAGTAAAAAATGTTTTTAAGAAAACTTTTCTAGGACTATAGCAAAAGTATTGT